CTTCACACCCCATCACCCCACCTTTGCAAGTGGCAGCCATATCCTGCCCCACACGCAACCCCTCTTCTTTTCTCAGAATCTCATCCCCTCTCTGCCCCCACAGGCACAGGCGCAGCCAGCACTCTCGAACATATCGGTCATGTCATCAACACCCGCACCACAGACATACGCATACATGCCTTACGCCCCCCTATCCAGCAGGTCACCCAAGGGCTTCAAGCAACCCAAGCAACAGGGAGAGCTGGACCGGCACAAGTTATAGGGGCACTCTCTACTCTCAACAACACCTCTGTTCCCCATGCCTCAGCAATGCATTTTTTAAACTAGCGAACCCCTCCCACCCCTCACAGAACAGCATGCGGCAAGCAACACGTCTACAGACACCAACGACCAGCTACCCTCACCAAGGTACGCCCACACCTACACAACGACACCTATCAAACGCACAGCACAACCAGGTAGAGACACCACCGCACACCCACCACCGACAAGCCGACCCAACCCCAACACCACCAACCCCAACAAACCAGCACCTCATCTCTCAGTCTGCATCCATCGACGCCACTACCTGTAACACCCTACCCTCCACACCATCTTCTGCTTTGGTAGCGAATAACACCTACCGGCAGGTGAGTAAGACCAGTCAATACAAACGACCTCGCTCGAGGCCTAGACGCAAGCACACCTCGACCCTGCTGACCCCAACCCAAAAACGCCTACTTCGAACACCGCAGATTATCCTACAGGACGAACTAAACTCGAAATTCATTCACAACAGATCCGCACTCACCCTCTCGCGCATAGAGCTCGAGGGGCTAAGCCTAGGACTCTCTTTCATCCCAACCCCATCACCCCCCACAGAACAAACAGTTATGAGCGCCCTCTCAAGATTCACGAGAGCAGTGAGACTTACCGCACAGTTCTCGTCTGACAGGCCAGCCCCACGCTTTCGTATTGCCAACCCATCCTGGATGCCCAACCCTGCTCCCCCCCCTGTAGAGCGATACATCGCGGAGGTGGGAAGGAACGTTACCAAACGCCTCCCACTGATGACGCGTAGCGCACGCAGGAACATGAGTGAGCAAGCGTTACGGTGCCTACAAAAGTTGGGTAAGAATAAAGAGGTGGTGGTAAAGCCAGCAGATAAGAATCTAGGACTCGCACTCCTAGATACTTCGTGGTATCGAGCAGAGGCACTTAGGCAGTTATCCGACACCAAAACCTACAAAGAGGTCGCAGCGGTACCCATGGACGACCTGTGCAGGGACCTCAACACTTGGTGCTCGAGGTACAAGGATAGGTTTCCGAAGGAAACCATCGAGTACATCCTGCAACCAAGAGTTGAGCGACGCACAGAAGCAGAATGTGAGGATCACACGGACATACACCCTGGGCAGTTCCGGGTGTGCAGATTCTATCTGCTACCTAAACTGCATAAAGACCCTGTCAAGGGGGGAGACCGATTTGCTCATCTACTCTCTGGATCTTTGAACACGCCAGCCAGGTGCTCGATCACTACCTACGCCCTTTGTTGGCCCTGGCACCAACCCATCTACCAGACTCAATCACCCTACTCCACACACTTCGTGCCCTCCCCATACCTGAACATGCCATCTTCCTCACGTACGATGTAGAGAGCCTCTACCCGTCGATCCCGCTCCAGCAGGGCTTGGACGCCATCCGAGAAACAAAGGACAGATTCGTGCACATCCACAGCCACCCAGTTTGGCCGGAGATGGGTACCGCCAAACAGCTCAGTGCGTGCTGTGCGCTCCTGGAGCTAGTCATGACACAAAATCACCTACAATTCGATGGGAAGTTCTACCGACAGATTCGAGGTACAGCCATGGGTACTCCGGTTGCAGTGATCTACGCAGTTCTCTTTATGAGCTGGCTAGACACTCGCATGGAGGAACTACACCCATCCCTGTCAAGGCATGTGCTACTGCATAGACGCTACATCGACGACGGATTGGTAGTCTGGACCGGATCGCTAGCAGAACTACACCAATGGATAGAGGGTTACAACAGCCTCATGGACGGCATTCACATCACCACCGAGGTCAGCGCCACATCGTTTACGCTGCTCGACATCACCTTCAGCAAAGGTAATCTGTGGGAGGCAACGAGAAAGGAAGATGTGAGAGGCGGTTTTCTGGACACCTCAGTGTACCAGAAACCGCTGAACGTCTATCAGTATTTCCCTTTCCGATCGGCACACCCGCGACACTGCAAACGAGGATTCATAATTGGTGAGCTGTACCGCTACCTCCTGCGGGAGTCATCAGAGGAGGGCTTCCAACAGATGAAATCCTCTTTCGCAGTGCGTCTACGAGCACGCGGCTACCACTCGAACTTCATCCGGCAGATCTTTGACGAGGTACAGTACAGCGACAGGGAAACACTCCTGCAACGATCAGTGAAAGGTAAGCACCGTGACGGCAGAGTACTGCCTTTTGTGCTCGAGTACCACCCTAGTCTCGAGCACCCACAGATAAGGTCCCTGCTCCGGTCCGAGACGAGTAGGACAACCCTAGAGACGCTCTGCCCGAGACAGCCTTTCCTCAGCTTCCGTGCAGCACCTAAGCTGAGGAATATGCTCGTCCGAGCTGCTTTCACGAGTGCCCGACGCTCGAGCTACTTCCGAGTGCAGTGCCGCATGAACGACACCACTGGACTCTATCGTATATCGTTGCTGGGCTCGCCCCTGTTTGTGGCTTTCCATGCTGTTGTCCTCTCACACTGCATTTCAAACAATCGGGGGGGCTGCGCCCCCCCGAACCCCCCCCCCCCCCCCCCGCTCCTCTCTCTCTCCCCCCCACGCTATGCGCTCCCCAGTTCTCTCAAAAAATTAATCTCGCCATCCCTATGTCTCACCCCCTCCACCTACCCTGCAGCTCCAATCAAGAACCAACAACA